CCTGCCACAATGATGGCTATTTTTTTGGTTGTAGCCGTCATTGTTGTTTGGCAGGCCTAGGCTGGATTCGAACCCACCACCTTAAGTGTATGTGGCTGGCGCCGTAGCCACTTAAGGCACAGGCGCTGAGCCCTCCTTAGAATTCTTTACAGAACATTTTAATTTTTGTTTTGAAGTTAGATATAACTTAAATTATTAAAATTTGGAAAAAAATAGATTTGATACATGAGCTCAAAAATAAGATAGTAAGCCAATATAAGTAACAATGGTATGTTATTAAATTAATCACTTAGAATTTTAGAATATCTTGCTGCCAACAATTACTGATAACATTTTATTACCAAATATAAAAATAATATGGCAAATGAGTTTATTAATCCTTTCATGCTTAGTGTATGATACCTAAGGTTTGTGTATTTTCTTTAAATAGTAGCTAATTGATAAAAACTGGACAAAAACAATATGTTCAATTATTAGAGGATTGGGTACCTTATTTTCAGATACATGATTGACTAAATAAAGCCTAATAGTTTTCCATTTCTACATTATAAAACCTTTTTATAACTTAGATTTCTATAAATTCTTGTTTGTTTTATTTATTTAGACAGAGTCACACTCTGTCCCCCAAGTTGGAGTGCAGTGGAATAATTACAGGTCACTGTAACTTTGAAATCCTGGGCTTAAGTGATCCTCCTGAGAGCTAGGACCATAGGCATGTGCTACCATATCCAGCTCATTAAAAAATTTTTTTTTGTAGAGCTGTAGTCTTGTCGTGGTGACAAGGCTAGCAGTCCTCCCATCTTGGCCCCCCAAAGTGCTGAGATTACAGGAGTGAGCCACCTCTTTTTTCGTGGCTTATAACTTCTTTATAAACTGCTCCAAGCCTTTTGTATCTAAAGGGTACTGTTTAAGATTTAAACATTTTAGGGCTTTTGGAAAAGACTATATACAAGCATATGTACAAAGCCTATATAATAAAAAATTAGAATATTTCTTAGCATATATGGTGCTTATTACATGGGAATTTTTAAAAAGTGTAAAATAGAATTGAGGAAACAATATTATATCTGGGGTCAATATCCTGGACCCAGACTACCTACAGACTACATTTAGAAACAAAATTATTACTACAGACAAGAAGTGTTTCTTTAGTAAATGTACTTGTCACTAATGTACTGGACTAGATAGCACAGGACATAGGAATAATAATCCCTTTCATTTCCTGAGCATGGACTTTGTGCTCCCCACTGTGCTAAGTACCTTACATGTATTAACCTCATATTTCATTTAATTCTTACAGTAACTGTGGAATAAAGGTAGTATCTTTATACCATTTTATAAGTGAGGAAATTTCTGAGTTTAAGTAACGTACCCAAGGTCACATTAAAGTCTTCAGCCTCAGGTGGTTTATAATGTGGAAGAGACAAGATATGTGAAGAAGTTACTATTAATAATAATTTTTAGATGACTGTTACAAATCAGCATAAAATTATATGGCATGCAGTTAACAAATGCATGAATTGAAAGGAGTGTCTATACTTCTAGAAACTTGAGTGATTAAATAATATGTGTTAATTGCTTAGCCTGGAACACAGTGCATGATGTGTTAATAATGATCATTGTTAATTCAGCTGTTAGTAATCATGAATGAATTTGGGTGTGTACAGAGAATGGGTGGGGTGAGGTGTCTAGTCTGTAAAGCCTAGAAAAAAATAGAATTGTGGACAGGTAGTAGTTTGTATAGCATAGTGATAGGAGGTAGGATTAGACTGGTAGATGGTAGCTTTATCTTAGAATAGTGGTTCTCAACCTTCCTAAACCTACGGCCCTTTAATACAGTTCCTGTGGATTGTGACCCACAGCTTGAGAACTGCTGTCTTAGAAGGCTTTGAATGTCACCCTGAAGTATAACATAGCTCTCTATCCTCTAAGTGGTTAAATCTATTCTATAGAATTTCTTCAACTTAAGTACTTTCTGGAACTTAAATCTGTAATGAACAGATTTTTTCATCTTTGGATGATTTTTTTTTTATATTAGGAAGTAGATACTTGCTTTTATTGAACCAAATGTGTCTCAGAGTAGATTCTGTTTATTGGACAAACTGAGTATAGCCTTGTTGAGTGAATTCATATGTCAGAGATTTAAGGATTGTTCTCACGCTTCTCTTGTGTGTTTTTTCATACTCTGGGCCAGTATTACCAGTCCCTCAACCAAACTTTATTAAGCTTGGCACTGAATTTCTACCATCTTGGCCATTCTCTTCTGAGTAAATTTATGTGATAACTCTCTTGGAATCAAATTTTAATTCTTTCAGATTACTCAACATTAAATGATGATAATTCAGATTCTATTGTTATTTCTAGATTATATAAGCTGTTTGTAATTTGACCATATTATATATATTCATGTTAAGTGCATATTCTGTACTTTAAAGTATGCTGAGCTCTTATATTCTTCCTTATTCATGCCTCATAGAAATCTCATGAGTAAAATATTATCACCAAAGCTTAGGTCAAGACTTAGAGAAATAAAATAATTTGTCATAAAACTTTTAAAGGATGCTCTTAGCCACTGTACTATAATGTTTGAGCACTGTTTCCACTAATGCTTTATTGAAAATTGTATTCAATATTCCCATTATATAAGCAATCTTCCACTTTTTATTTATGGTAAAAATACTAAAGTGTATAAACTTTTTATTGTATATGTTTTAACATCAAGCAAGTCTTAGTTTTTTTATTAAACTGATCAGAAATAATAAAAGGTGACGACTCTGTTATGCTTGAATTTGAGAAAACAAGAATAGAGAACAATATTTTAAAAAATATTCACGTATCTTTAATACAATGTTAGTGTCAGATGTGCCTTAAATCTACTCCCAGGTTTGATGTTTCACTAGAAGGACTTACAGCACACATAATTGTACTCATCACTGAGACTTATTACAACAACAGAATACACAGCAAAGTCGGCAGAGGGAAAAAGTGTATGGGACCAAGTCTGGAAGAAATGAGGCCCAAGTTTTCAATAGAGTCCGCTCCTGGTAGAGATACACATAGCATGCTTAACAGGTTATATCAAAATGTGTGAAGCAAAATGTGTGAAGTCTGTCTATCAAAGACGCTCACCAGAGACTAAGTACCCAAGGCTTTTACAAGGGGCTTGTTAAATAGGTACCCTGTGCCTAGTTTGTATTAAAATCCTGGACTCACAGAAGGAAAGCAGGTATTCAGCATAAGCCATGTTGTTTATATGAAGAATTTAGGCACAGCAGGCCACTGTTATCAGATAGAGAAAGTTCTATGTCACTGTAGAGAGCAGTTTGCCAGCCAAATTCCCAGATGCCAGTCAAGGGCCAGCACTGCAAGCAGGCCTTCTAAGGATGGGCTGTCTCAGCTACTATGTTAGGTATTACCTGAGATTTAAGAGGCACAGGGGAAATCAGGTACCTTGTTCAATAGCGTGGGCATGATAGAATTCAAAATTTCTTCTCATTGAAATAATCCCTACCTTAACAGTATAATGAAAGGTATTTATTTCACTGAGGTCATCAATATGGTACCCACCCTCTGTCAGTGCATTCCTCCTGGTGTTGCTTTCAGTTAGTAAAAGAATTGAGTTTCTGTGCGTGGAATTACTTAAGCAACCATGATTGAACAGCTAAGTAGTAGAAGTATTTTATTAATGTTGTATTTCACTTGATAGAAATAAGCACAGCTGTAGTATCGTATCATTTCAAAGCATATATTTTATAGTTTGGGCTACCTCAAATTATTTGGGGGGAGTGAGTAGGGGAAATGATGTAGCAATAAATATAAATAAAAAATGACTTGGTAATATAAGCCATATGATCTAAACAAAACTGAAACCAGTACAAATAAACAGCTCTTGTTAAGCAGATAACTGTTGAGGAAAGGTAATGGTAGTCTTAGGTCTTTTCTCTTGTATTATGAACACAGAACACTGGACATTCTCTCAGGCACAGAACGTTATCTCTTGTCTGTCACTGTGTGGTTGGTAATAGTGCAGCATGTGGTGTGTTGCAGGTGCTTAAATATTGATTGAATGAGTAAGTATGTGAATCAAGAGTAACTGGAGAGATGTCAGGGAAATTAAGTTCATAAAATACCAGAAGAATGTGGGAACGGCGAAACATGCCTGCCATTTCATGGAGATTATCAGGAAATCTCCAATAACTTGTTTTTGTTTTTGTTTGCAGTTTCTGGCCGAGGCTGGGTTTGAACCTGCCACCTCCGGCATATGGGGACTCCTATGAGTCATAGGCGCTGCCCCAATAACTTGTTGTTTTAACCTAGATGACTCTTTTGAAATGTTGAGATAGGAATAGGAAGGGGAAATTAGTCTATCATTTAAAGAAATCAGCTATTATAAGTTTTTTAATAGCCCAGTTTTTCGTGGTATAATTTCCAAAAATAAAGAACCAATTCAGTCTGACAGCTTTCCTTTCCTTTAGCCATGATTTTAGGTCATTGCTAGAGTACTACCTCTTTATCAAAACTCTTCCTTTGTTTTCTTCACAGTAGTGCTCAGGAGGCTTCTCCACAGTTCGCTTCCTCAGTGGCTTCCTCACGGAGCATGCCGGAAAGTGCAGAAGCCCCGGCCTCAGGCAGACCAGGGGTGGCCAGCCTCACAACCGCTGCCGCTTTCAAGCCTCTAGGATCCACCAGCGTTATCAAGTCACCGAGCTGGCAACGGCCAAACCAAGCAGGTAATCCAAAGAAATCTCTGATTTTTCCTAAGTGAGTGTAATTATAAAAACACATTCTGGGATGTATGATAGAGTTCACTGGTAAAACCCATTCTCTACCATCTAAGATTTGGAAAGAACTATGAAGAAGAGCTATGGATTTTTTTTTAAAATCTGAAGTGTGTCCTGGGTGGCACCTGTGGCTCAGTGGATGGGGCACCAGCCCTGTGTACCAAAAACCCGGCTCTGGCCAAACTGCAACCAAAAATAGCCGGGCATTGTGGCGGACACCCGTAGCCCCAGCTACTCTGGAGGCTGAGGCTAGAGAATTGCCTAAGCCCAGGAGTTGGAGGTTGCTATGAGCTGTGATGTCTCGGCATTCTACCAAGGGCTATAAAGTGAGACTGTGTTTCTAAAAATAATAAAAAAATAAAAATCTGAAGTGTATCCTAATCACTCTCTGTGTGCATTTGATACAATTACCATTTCCTATTCATAACTGTAGAATTTAACATTTCCTCTTTGTGCAGGTAACTCAGAAAGCATCTGTTGAATTGTAAATTCAGGGTCTTATTTCATAACAGACTCTATTGTTGGGAAGTTATCCTTGGAAATACAACATTTTTGTTTTGATGAAATGTACAAATAACTCCAGCAGATGCATTGGTTGCCACCAAACAATTATGGAAGAAGAATTATTTTTCTTTGATTTATGGAGCAGGAAGGGAACGACACCATACTAGAAAGAGAGCATTTGAAGGGGAGGATGAAACAATGTGGTCTGGCTGGAGGCCTGAGTTCTAATTCACTTCCACAAACAAGTACCCCATGTTTCCCCGAAAATAAGACACTGTCTTATATTTATTTTTTCTCAAGAAGACATACTAGGGCTTATTTTCAGGGGATTTTTTTTTTTGCAGTTTTTCTTTTGGCTGGGGGCTGGGTTTGAACCCACTACCTCCGGCATATGGTGCTGGCACCCTACTCCTATGAGCCACCTGCACAGGGAGAGCCAACCTGGTTAGTGGGGCTGGCACTAGTGATGCGTGAACTCCTTTCCCCTAGCCGTTCGCATGTGCACAATAGGATGCCTGCCACTGACGGCTCGGAGAAAGGAGCTGTGGCAGATAAAAGGTATTCTAGTCTTCCTTACCACTCCATGCCGAAATGCCTGGTGTGGCTATGCAGATACGCTGCATAGCCACGCTCATCACTAGGTTTTATTATCGGGGTAGGGCTTATATTTAACAAATGCATAGAAATCATGCTAGGGCTTATTTTGTGGGTAGGTCTTATTTTCAAGGAAACATGGTATAGCTTTAAATAGAGTTATTTAACCTCTTTGACCCTCAGTTTTCTGATCTGCAAAATGAAGGGAGACTAAATCATTTCCTGTTTCTCCCAGCATGAGCAAAGTTTATGATTACATAACAAAAGTGCCTCTTTTAATAGGAAGAGGGGATTATACTTAAATGTCCCTAATCCCCAACTCAGCCTTTATCTCTTTCTTTGTACTCTTTCTGGGTGATTTTGTCCAGGTTCCTTTTACTACCCAGCCATTGGCAATTTATAGTTTTCTGTCTCCTGAACTCCCTGTCCTCAAACCATTGACCTATTTGCTGTCTGCTGGTGGTACCTCAGAAGGAGCATGTCTGAAATGACGCTTTCCTATCTCTGGGAACTACACTCTCTCTCTCTCTGTGTAACTGACACCTAATGATTTCGGTTCTTGGTATTTTCCAGATTTCTTCCCTCTGTCATCAGAGCCATTCCCTTGTTTCAAGCCCTCTTCATGACAGATGACTTCTGATTTCTGGTCTCCTTTCTCACCCTTTCAGTCTGTCCTCCATAGTTCAGCAAGTCAACTTTCTAAACTCTGATTTGCCGTGTGACTCCCTTGGGAATGGATGCCTCTCTGTCTCCCACCATCCTTCATGTATCCTTTCAGACCTTTTGTACTTGGGCCCCTAAAAACTTCTAACCCTCATCTCTAGCTTCTGCCCAAGTTACAGTCTCTGCTTGGTTGCACTAAACCACCTTCAGTTTCTGAGACATGCCACATTTGCTTTTGAAAGTTCTCTTTCTCTGTGCAGAATGTAGTTCTTCACCTCATCAGTTTTGGGGAAAATGTTGATTGAATAAACAAGGGGCTACTTTTCAAAAGTGATTGCTTTAAGAATTATTCTTTAAGAATATTTTCGACATGGGTGGCACCTGTGGCTCAAGGAATAGGGTGCCAGCCCCATATACCAGGGGTGATGGGTTCAAGTCCGGCCCCAGCCAAAAAGGCAAAAAAAAGAGAATATTTTTGACATTTGTAAACATGGATTTTAGTTAATTTAATTAGAAATCCATCATTACTATATTTTCCACAGTGTTTAAATATGTATAAAGACACTAAATGAATTCCTTTATTATAAATAACTTCTCTTTTAAAAAAGCTATCATTTATACAGTTTACTTCATAGTCATATATGTTACTTGTTGCCTGTTTCAAAGAAGCTAGAAGCATTTGTGTTGTGTTGGAAAGAGGGCAAACTGTTGCATATGATGTAGAACAGCAGTCCTCAACCTTTTTGACACCAGGGACCAGTTTTTCCACAGACGAGGGGGTGGGGGAATCTGAGAGGAGGCGGAGCGCAGGTGGGGATGTGAGGGATGGGAGTGGCTGTAAGTACAGAGGGAACTCAGTTGCTAACTGCTGTGCAGCCGGGTTCCTAACGAGTCATGGACCAGTGCTGGTCTGAAGCTGGAGTTTGAGAACCACAAATCTAGACCATTTTAAAAGAGAGACTATTTATTGTTTTCAAAAATACTTAAAATATTCTGAGCAGTATCATTAGCCTCTGAAATTTCTGGACTGTTAATTGACTTAGCGTGACTTAGTCTCTCGAGAACATGCTGCTGAAGCACAGCTCCATACGCTTTGAGGTCTGGGTATTTACTTAAAGCTTACGTAGGATGATGGAGATTTGCTGTAATTATTGCATGTCTGAGTCTGAATACAGAGAGTCACTTTCGAAAAAATCCCTCTGGGCTGGTAACTGGAAGCTAACAAGAATGTTTTATGAAATAGCAAGGAGAAGACTAAAGTTTTGAAGCAGAGATACAGGGAGGGCACAACATATATGAAGGCAGAAAGCATATATATGGCTTTGGGAAGTTCAGGAATTTGTCAGAATACTGCCTTGCCTCTTAACGTGGAAAACAGAAATACAAATGAACGCGGAACTTGTGGAGAGCACTGTATAGCAAATTACCACAAGAGGGCAATGGAATGCTTTCCTCTCTGCATCTAATTTAATTTGTTAGACTCCTCAAAGCAGGCAAATAGTAGAAGCTTTAGTCATGGTTCGTATGGTTAGTACTTAAAACATTGTGGGTTTTTCTAGAAAATCTAAGTGAATGAAATAATTTAATAATGAGCAAAACTGTGACAGTACAGAACATTATCTCTTATATAACATTATAAAGCAATATTGTGAAATAAAATATGTTTTCCCATTATAGAGTCATGGTTGAATTACATCATAATACTTAGGTCAAATCATCAAATATTTGCTGAATTCCCGTTTTTGTTGCCCTAAGTGCTAAAAATCAGCATTTAATCAATTAATGTTATGTGAAGGTTACTTATTTTACATTATTTTGTGAAGTTAAAAATTAAATACAAAATTCTCAACCACCCAAATTCTTTTATTCTGCCCTACCCATATCATAGTTTAGAAACAATGACAAGAAAAAAACCCATCTCAGAATATATTCTGGTTTAGTCTTAGATAAGTAGCTTCAAAGGTACCTTATGTAAGGGAAAAGAATTATTTAGAAAGTGATAGCTCTGTCTCATTTTGGGATCTTTCCACAATCCACCTGTGAAAACAACATTACCAACCAAAGAGATGCGAAAGCTAGAAAGGGAAGTAGCGAGCTGGTTGGGCTTGGGGGAAGCACGCAGGCCGCGGGCCTTGCCCCTTCTCAGTTCAAACTTCCGAAGGCTTTCTTTCTCTTGATAATTCATAGCTGTGCTCTAGTGTTGGTGCAAAAGGGAACAAAAATTAGATTTGATTCCTGCCCCTGCATACAGATCACGAAAGAGCAAACGTTACCAGTGATCCATTTTAAAATTAAGTCATTCCTCAGTATCCCTAGGCTGTTAGTTCCAGGATCCCTGCAATATCAGTTTAAGGATGCTCAAGTCCCTGGTATAGACTAGCACAGTATTTGTGTTTAACCGGTGCATATCTCCTGTTACTTTAAATCACTTCTAGTTTACTTATACTGCCTAATATAATGTTGATATTATGTAAATTGTTATTATGAAATTGTATTTTTTATTCATATTATTTTTGCTTTGCCTTTTTTTTTCTTTTTTGTAGAGACAAAGTCTCACTTTATTGCCCTTGGTAGAGTGCCGTGGCGTCACTCAACTCACAGCAACCTCCAACTCTTGGGCTTAGGCGATTCTCTTGCCTCAGCCTCCCGAGTAGCTGGGACTACAGGCGCCTGCTGTAACACCTGGCTATTTTTTTGTTGCAGTTTGGCCTAGCCTGGGTTTGAACCCCCCACCCTTGGTATATGGGGCCAGTGCCCTACTAACTGAGCCACAGGCGCCATCCAGCTTTGCCTTTTTTATTAAATTTTCCATTTTTTTTCAATTCATGATTTGTTGAATTTGCAGATGCAGAATCCACAGACAGGTGGAGTGTGTATAAGTAGATATATGTAAGCATGTGCACTATTTATTTATACCCTGACCTTTAGGGTGTGAATTTCAGAAAGGTAGTGTTTTGGTGCAACATGCAAACACACATATATGTTTTGGGTCAGAAGGTAAAATGTGTTTCTTACTATGCTTTACAGTTTCAAAAAATGTGGAAAATCATTGATTGATTTTTTTTTTAAATATAGCATTTGTCAGAAGAAAGTCATAGAATTAAGTAAGTATTTTAGTCATGCTTTTGTCTATCGGGTGATGACTATTATAATTTTAAAGTGTAATAGTCAAAGTTAGTGGTAAAGTT